CGAGCTTTGCTGTATGTATCTTGCAGTACTGTGGGGCTGCTAAAGGTGTGTGAACTAACCATATGGAAGAAATTAAAGGGTGTGTGTGTGTGTACTTACACGCGCGTGTGCCAGAGGCTTTCTCGTAGTGATTGGGAAGGCATGTTGATTTGTGGGTACAAGGATCCTTGGGACGCTATTCCGAATTCTAGAACTAAATTTTCCTTGTTAATGTTCTTTTGTAAGATAAATCCAGCACATACCTTACAGTGATGGAATAGAGCAAAGCCAGGTATCCTGTATTTATTCTTTTGAAAATATTTGAGTTCCTGCTCTATGCCAGTTATTACTCTAGGCACTGGGGATATAGTAGTGAACAGGAAGGTAAGCTCCTTCCTTTCCTGGGGCTTACATTTTAGTGGAGGGAGACCCATGGTAAATAAGCCAATACATTAAGTTCAGAGAATGGTAAGTAGAAAATAAAGAGGTAGTGGCATAAGGAGACTTTGGGGGTGATGAATATGCTTGGTATCTTGCTGGTAATGATTTATCGGTATATGCCTGGGCCAAAATGTATCAAATTGTATACTTTAAGTATTGTGCAGTATATGTGTCAACTATACCTCAGTAAAGCCATATAAAAAAACATAGGACGCTTGGGTGGCTCCGTTGGTTAAGCGACCAGCTCTTGGTTTCAGCTTAGGTCATCATCTCACGCTTCGTGAGTTCAAGCCCCGCGTTGGTCTCCATGCTGACAGTGTGGAGCCTGCTTGAGATTCTCTGTTTTCTCCCACCCTCTCCCACTTGATCTCTCTCTCAAAATAGTTGAGTAAACTTAAAAAGTATAAAATAAAACATAGTGGGCAGTATGGGAAGCTAATTCAGATTGGTTGGTTAGAGAAGACCTCCCGAAGAGGTTACATTTGAGCTGAATATCATGAAGGAACCGGCCTTGCCAGGATCTGAGGGCAGAGCACACTTACCCTGTTTGAAAAAGGCAAGGCCAGTGTGGCTGGAGGGAGATTAGGAACAGGCAGGGCCTTATGGACCATGGTAAAGATAGCAGTGAAGCCAGTTGGAAACAGCATGTTACCTCTTTAACGTCTCGTAAGCATCAGGGCACAGACTAGAGGCAACGGAGGAGCCGCCCAGCATCCTCATCCATCAATGATCGGGCTCCTCATTTTGTTTTCATTCCGAGAAAGTGCTAGGGAGCAGTGTAATGTGTGAGTGGAATGGGGGTGATGACGTGACTGGCCAGTCAGCTCTTGCATTCTTTGTGTTCTTTTCCACTGCAGCTTTTCCTTCCCTCCATGAGAAAGAAACCAGCTCTGGCTGATGGCAGCAATCCTGACGGCGAGCTTCTCCAGGAGCACTGGCTGGTTGATGACATGTTCATCTTTGAGAACGTGGGCTTCACCAAGGACGTGGGCAACATCAAGTTTCTGGTGTGCGCAGACTGTGAAATCGGACCAATTGGCTGGCATTGCCTAGATGACAAGAACAGTTTCTATGTGGCCTTGGAACGGGTTTCCCATGAGTAACTGAGGGGAGGGGGACTCAGCTCCACCCCCAGCTTTAAAGGCTCCTCCCCTCAAGAACTGGCATTTAACCTGATGTAATTGCCCTGCTGCCGCCTTCTCAGTACTAATGTAAATTATGAGTATCAACATGTCCGGTTGAACAGAGGGCTAATCCTGCTTCCTTAAAGCCTCAAGTGCATGCCTCATGCATCACTCATCCTGCATCCCAACATCTCCTAACCTTTCTTTTCCCCCAGTTGCAGGACACTGGAACACGTCCACAAATGTGCTCTCATCCCTGGCATCCTGCCCCGGGCTCTCTGACCCTGGGCTCCCTTGTTTCGTGTTCTGTAACAGCAGCATTCATCCTCTTGTCCAAGATGACACATGACAGCTGATGCCCGTGCTGATAGCTGAAACTCCACCTTTTTCTCTCTCATTCAAGAAAGCATACAAGTGTCTGAGAGTGACTTGGTTGTATGGCTAACTGTATCTACAGTAATTTATTCTTTTTAAAAGTGTGGCATTTACAGACATTAGTATTTAAACTACTAATCAGAAACACATTACTTTGGACACCCCTCTAGTAACCATGTTTGACAGCTGAGCCTCTAGGCTCAGTGACTTTTTATTGTGAAGATGAATATGGCCCCTCTTCCCCTCAAATCTTGATACGGTTTCTCTTTATATTAGCCTGTGAGTTGAGAATCAGATTTTCAACCCTATCTGGCAGCCACCCCAAGGAAAACTCAGCCCTGGCTTAGAATCACAGTGGAGGATGTGGGATATAGGAGGGACAGGCCTTTGCCATATTATACATGACTTTAGAGGTTTGCCTTATTTGGACAAGTAACTTTTCCTTTGTTCTTAGCAAAGGAATCCATCTATCTAATAGGTAGTGTCATCATTTACTGAACCTACTAAGCATGGTCCTCACAGAGTTTTGGTTCATTTGGAATGTCTGTACCAACCCAGAACAAACTTTCCATCCACATGCCACTATTTCTATAGCTGTAGTGTTGCTCTAATAGTTCAATGTTAGCAGACTTGTTTAAATCTTCAATATAATTGTCAGTTCTGTCCTCTCTCTTCTGAAGTGACTCAACTTTAGAAGGAGTCTCTATGAGCAGATCTCAGGTATCCTCCCATCAGCCCTACCTGGAAGATGGAGGAGACCCTAGAATTGACATAAGGATTAAACGGAAACCTTCCAGTTTAGAGCCCATCCTTCTGTATCTGTTTTCTGCTTGCTTCCGCCTTCTTTCTCCCCAGAACTTTTCTAAGGGCTCCCCAACTAAAGTGTGGGCCTTGGGCATGGTTTTGCAACCAACCTACTCCTCTAGAAAGGTGGCTTCCTTCCCCAGTCATAGCCTCGGTGAGATCTAGTTGAAAATGAGAGAACAGTTTTCTAGAGAGTCAAAGGTCCATGATTACGGCATGTGCAGAAAAACAACTGTGAGAAGTACCCACTCAGGTCCGAAGGAACAAAACCAGGTAGATGCCTCTGGGGGCATGTCGCCCCTCCTGCCACAAGCCAAAACCTAAGCAAGGCAGTTTTTTAAATTAGGCTTTCACTTTTCTTTCCTTTTTTCATCACAGAAATAGTACACATTTGTTGCAGATAAATACAAAAATGGGTATAAAGATTTTTTTAATCACTCCTATTTTCCACCATCCAGAGATTGCCTATGGTAATGTGGTATATATCCTCAGTGCTTTTCTATATGTATATATGAACATGTATGGTTTTTAAAAACAGATATGAGATCATACTGTGCTCTTTTATAACTTGCCTTTTCCATTTAACAAAATACTGACTTCCCATTTTAACAGATAACCGTCCATGGCCACCCTTGTTTTTAGTATTCCATTGTCATTTCTGTAATCTATTTAAACAATCCCCTATTAGATTGTCTCCAGTTTCTTATAAACGGTGTGATACAACATACAACTTTAAAGTTAAATCTGTATACACATTTGTAATTATTCCCTTGGCATACATTATTAGAAGTAGAATTGCAAGGTATGCATGTTTTCAAGGATTTGGTCTGTTGACCCATACTCTTCAGAAACAGCTGTAATTCACCCCCCTCCAGCAGTGTAAAAGAGCACTCATTTCTCTGAAACCTTCCTAACACGGGGTATTATGAAAAAGATATTTTGCCACTTTAATAGAAAAAGTAGTATCTCATGTTTTCATTTGCATTTCTTGTATTTTTAATGAAATTTTTAGATACTGATCATTTGTATTTTTTTTTTTTTAGAAAATTGTCAAACGTTACCACAGTAGCCAAAAATATCAAATTGTTATTCTGCCTTTTCGGTATAATTTGAAAGGAATAAAGGCATTTAAACAGTAGAAATTAGATTCCTGTATGTCCTTGGAAAGAATACACAATTTGAAAAAGCAGAGGAGAGCTGAAAACTGAACCTCAGGCTTTATTGTGAGGTCTGTCAACTAATTAATTGATCACTTAGTGTCTGCTATAAAATGGGAATGTCATCTCTTTGGTCCCTCACACATAATAGGCTCTCAGTGAAGACTTGGGAAATCCGTTAACCGCTTTGTCATAGGTAGATGGAAGTAACCCATGCTTGCTGCTAGGAGTTGAGACACCTGCAGTTCCTGTTAGAGCAAAGGATTTTTCCAAGGCCTAATTGTTTCTACAAAATTCTTTTCTAACAAAAGAGTTGGACAGTGGCGTACTGGCATTTTACATATTGTTCCCATGCCACGTATGTGGCTACTCAAGTGCCTCTAACATATAACTAATGAGGACTTTTGTTCCCGATAATGGTGGACAGGTACATTTTTTTAAGTTTATTTATTTATTTATTTTGAGAGAGAGCAAGTGGGAGAGGGGCAGAGAGAATCCCTCCCGAGGAGACTCTGTGCTGTCAACGCAGAGCCCGATGCAGGGCTCCAACCCACGCAACTGTGAGATCGTGACCTGAACTGAAACCAAGTCAGACACTTATGACTGAGCCACCCAGGTGCCCCTGGTGGGTAGGTAATTTAGACTCACTATCCCACCGAGGGCAGTTAGAAAGGCTGGACAAAATATTTAAAGCATCCAAAGTCAGGGCGCCTGGGTGGCTCAGTTGGTTGAGTGACCAACTCTTGATTTCAGCTCAGGTCATGATCCCAGGGTCACGGGATTGAGTCCCATGTTGGGCTCTGCACTGAACATGGAGCCTGCTTGAGATTCTCCCTCCCTCCCTCCCTCCCTCTCCCTCCCTCTCTTCCTCTCTCCCTTCCTCCTTCCCTCTCTGCCCTTCTCCCTCACTCATTCTCTCTCTGCCCCTCTCCTTCACTCGTTTTCTCTCTCTCTCTCTCTCTCTCTCTCTCTAACCAAACGCATCAAAGAACATTTGTTTGAAGGATTACTGGGCTAGGACCACTGAGAAGAAGGTGACCCTGGAAGGAGGGCTTGGTGTTAAGGGCCAGCGCTCTCTTGGGGGCATTTGCCAAATGTGAAGGGGGCACTTCAGAGGCTGATGGGTGATTGTGACCGGCTTTTGGAAGTAGGGGTCTGTGCCGGTCAAAGAGTGGTAGACCTGGTCAGTGTTCCTCAGTTTGAGTTGAGGTCCTCAGTCCTTTGCACCCCAGGAATAGGAGTGAACCAGAAGGAGGAAATTGAAAGGCTCTCTCTGGACTGCAGCTTGGTTTCCAATGGTCTCAATCCTTGACATTAGATTAAGTTGATCCCAAAGTGGTAGTTTCCCCACACCCTTGGCATAAGCAAACAAAAACGCTCTCTGGAGGAAAATACCATCATCCTAAACTTCAACTTGTTTCTACAAGTAATTTTGCTAATACAATATCTTGAACACAATAAAATGTAACCAAGCATATGAGTCAAGATATTAAGAAAACCAGTGAAATAAGAGACCATGGAAAGTGGCCCACAGAGGCTGCAGACAGTGGAGCCACCAAACACTATAAAATAATTGCTTACTCTGTTCGAGGAGATAAACCAGTTTGAGGAATTTCAACAGATACCTGGGCATGTGAAAAAATACGAATTGTAGAATTTTTAAAAATCCAATAACCAAAATTAAGAATTCAGTGGAAGTTTTTTAGCAGCAGATTATGCACAGCTGAAGAGAGAACTAGAAAACTGGGAGCTAGGAATAATTTGTTGTTGTTTTTCAACATTTATTTATTTTTGAGAGAGACCGGGCATGAGCAGGGAGGGGCAGAGAGAGAGGGAGACACAGAATCCAAAGCAGGATCCATGCTGGGCTGTTAGCACATAGCCCGACGCGGGGCTCGAACCCATGAACCACGAAATCATGCCCTGAGCCGAAGTTGGATGCTTAACTGACTGAGCTACCCAGGCACCCCGGAATATTTCTAACAGATCTGCAAGACCTAAACACAGTTATACAACATTACTGAGAGATACTAAAAGGAAACAAACTTACAGGGGCCAGAAAACTATAGCCCACAGGCCAAGTCCACTCAAGACAGCATCTGATTTATAGAGAGTCACGAGTCTGCCACCTAAGAATGGTTTCGGGGCACCTGGGTGGCTCAGTGGGTTAAGTGGCTGACTTCAGCTCAGGTCATGATCTCACAGCTCGTGAGTTCAAGCCTCACATTGGGCTCTGTGCTGACAGCTCAGAGCCTGGAGCCTGCTAAGGATTCTGTGTCTCCCTCTCTCTCTGCCCCTCCCCCACTCATGCTCTGTGTCCCTCTCTCCCAAAAATAAATGAAGATTAAAGAAAATTTTTAAAAAAAAAGAATGTTTTTTACCTTTTTAAATGGTTGTATAAGTATCTATCTAATATCTCCAATTTTACTTCTTATCCCACAAAGCCTAAAATATTAACCAGTCTTTTAAGAGAAAAGATTACCAGGGGCACCTGGGTGGCTCAGTCAGTTAAACGTCCGACTTTGGCTCAGGTCATGATCTCTCAGTTCATGGGTTCGAGTCCTGCGTCGGGCTCTGTGCTGACAGCTCAGAGCCTGGAGACTGCTTTGGATTCCATGTCTCCCTCTCTCTCTGTTCCTCCCCTGTGTGTGCTTTCTCTCTCTCTCTCTCTCTCTCTCTCTCTCAAAAATAAAGATGAAAAAGTAATAATAATTAAAAGAAAAAAGATTGCCAAGTATTGACTAATTTTGTAAAGATGCCAACTTTTCTCCAAACTGATGTGTAAGTTTAATAAAATCCTAACGAAATACCCAACATTTCATGAAATTCAACAAACTGATTCTAAATGTGACATGAAAATGCAGAGGACTGAGGCTAGCCAAGACAGTCACAGAGAAAAACAGAATGGGAGAAATTCTCTACTGGATAGACCTCTATTTGTCACAAGAATGAACAAACAGGCTAGTGGAACAAAAAGGCTCAGAAACAGACCCGTGTGTGTGGCTACTTGATTTGTGACCAAGGCAGGGATGATGACTTACAGGGTGGTGTGGGGAGGGCTCCTGCAATGTTGGAAATGCTCTATCTCCTTTTAACCTGGACAGTGGCTATGTGATGAACTCGTAAGCTATGCATCTTTTGTGAGCTTTTCTGAATATATGCTGTATTCTCATAACAAAAAAGCTTCTGAAAGATTGGAACTAACTGATCCCATCCAACCCTTACTTTCCTAAACATTAGTTCTTCCCTTCAGAATGGGATGGCATCTTTTCTGTTACCTCCTAGATCTATACACATGTAATACTGAAACCCTTGACTCTACTTACCTCTAAGGAAGATAAATTCTAGAAGTGTAGGGACCAGGAATATCCTATTTACTATTCTACCCTCGGTGCCTGGCCCCATGTCTGCCACATTTTAATAGTTTGATGAATGTTTGTTAAGGAAATTTAAAATAAACTCCACTAAATGCTGTATCATTTTAGCGGGACTAATTTAAAGTGGTTCATGCAGATGTTTTTTAATGGAGGGATTAGAGTGAATTATATTTCTGATGCAGTGAATAACAGTGGATTACAAATTAGGTGCTGCACTTTTTTTCCAAGGCTTTTTGACAAAGACCGTGAAAACACATGTGATACAGGATCGTGTACAGAGTAAGTACATCTACGTGGTCATGACCTCGTCTAAGTCTGCATGGAGTAAGACAATAAAGGTGTTAACTTCAGTAGTGTCAATCTGTCCATTGTGACCAAGGTTTCTTTACTGAATACAGTGGACTCTAACCCAAATATAAATATATTTGAAATAGTGATCTTCAGTGTTATTTGTGGAAATTACACAAACCAACCTTTCTCGGCAATATGCTTCTTTCCCGCGCACAAATTAAAATTGGTTCTCTTGGGGGCGCCTGGGTGGTTCAGTCGGTTAAGCGGCCGACTTCGGCTCAGGTCATGATCTCACGGTCCGTGAGTTCGAGCCCCGCGTCGGGCTCTGTGCTGACAGCTCAGAGCCTGGAGCCTGTTTCAGATTCTGTGTCTCCCTCTCTCTGACCTTCCCCCGTTCATGCTCTGTCTCTCTCTGTCTCAAAAATAAATAAATGTTAAAAAAAAATAAAAATTAAAAAAATAAAAATAAAATTGGTTCTCTTGTAAGGTATTTGGATTTATTTCTGTTATCTAGACGGCTGCAAAATTTAGATTCTTTTTCTAATTTTTTGTCATCCTTTTCTAACCACAAGAGTGTTTAGAGAATTAAATTCCTGGAATATGTCTAAATGTCAGGATTTAATGGGGCACCTGGGTGGCTCAGTCAGTTAGGCGGTCGACTTCGGCTCAGGTCATGATCTCATGGTTCATGAGTTCGAGCCCCGCGTCAGGCTCTGTGCTGAAAGCTCGGAGCCTGGAACTTGCTTCGGAATCTGTGACTCCCCCTCTCTCTGTCCCCAGCTCATGCTCTGTCTCTGTCTCTCACAAAATAAATAAACGTTAAGAAAACATTTTTTTTTTAATGTCAGAATTTAAGGTTAAGTGGTAAGGGTCCACCAAATTCACTTCAAATCTATTCAAACTTAGAATTCACTTTGCCTCATATAGAAACAACGTCATCCAGGCACCTGGGGGAGGCCCAGTCGGTTGAGCTTGAGCTTCTTGAGTTTGACCTTCCAACTCTTGATTTCAATTCCAGTCATGACCCCAGAGTCATGAGATCGAGACCCACATTGGGCTCCGTGTTGAGCATGGAGACTGTATAAGATATTCTCCCCCTCTGCCCCTCTCATGCAGCTCATGCTCTCTCTCTCAAATAAAAAATAATAAAATTTAAAAATTTTTAAAAAGAAACAATGTTATCCATGATGAGTAGTTTGTAGCCTGTGACACAAAACTATGCATACCCAAAGCATAGTATTTCAATAAGCAGTTCTAATTTGGGATGTCATGAGCAAGTCCTCTGCTATGATTAGATCGGGGTGCTCCAAATTCCAGACCTGGTGACCCCAGACAGTCTTTTTTTTCAGGTTGGGGGCCAGGATGAGCCATGACCTGGGGGAACAGTGAGGAGACATTGTGGGCTAGGAACACTTATGGTCCTAAGGAGGTGAGGGGAGAGTGCTCAACTCCTGTAGGTTTATACATTATCCCTTCCCCACTTTGTCCTGGATGGCTTCTGGTATGAGATGTGAAATAGGGATTGGGTGGAAATGGAGGTTCCATCCTAGGGAGCTGTTGCCCCAGTCAAAGAGGAGGTAAATTTCAAGATAACAGGGAGGAAAAACTGAGCTCATAGAGGCACCCAACCTCAGCAACTTTGCTAGCATGACCATCAATTGTTAAGTAATTCAGTCATTTGAAAGCCAGGTACTGCCTGTACAGTATTGGCACTAGCCCAAGAATGAATGGCCCTAGTGTCTTCCTGTCTACCCTGATTTCACCACTGCATGAACAGGACATTCTTGCTCCCACAAAGCCTCTCCATCTTTTCGGTCCCTCCCTTGCACAGACGGACGGCAGTTGTCCTTTCAATTCACTGTCATTTGATTCTACGTGGTAGGGCAGAAGGAGTACATATAGGGAAAAGATGCAGGCTTATCAAGCATCGTTAGATGGCTTGAAACCTAGAAGTGACCATAGCCTTTCCCTCCAAACGTTAGAATATCTTAAATCCCTGAAGAACTGTGTGAAAATGGTGTGTCTGCAATGGCACTAAAGTTGAGATCATCAGGGTGACATAGAGAAAAGGATGACAAAAAAATTAGAAAAAGAATCTAAACTTTGCAGCCGTCTAGATAATAGAAATAAATTCAGGGGCGCCTGGGTGGCTCAGTCGGTTAAGCTTCTGACTTCAGCTCCCGTCGTGATCTCATGGTTTGTGGGTTTGAGCCTTGCATCGGGCTCTGTGCTGACAGCTCAAAGCCTGGAGCCTGCTTCAGATTCTGTGTCTCCCTCTCTCTCTTTGCTCCTCCCCATTCGCTCTCCATCTCTGTCTCTCTCTCAAAAATAAAAAAAAAAAAAAATTTAAAATGAAAGAAATTCAAATACCTTATAAGAGACCAATTTTAATTTGTGCGCTGTAAAGAAGCATATTGCCAGGAAACGTTGGTTTGTGTGATTTCCACAATTAACACTGAGGATCACTGTTTCAAATATATTTATATTTGGGTTAGAGTCCACTTTATTCAGTAAAGAAATGGACATTTAAAAAAGTGTTTATTTATTTAGAGCAAGAGACCATGCGATGGGGGGGGCGGGGCAGAAAGAGGGAGAGAGAGCAAGCAGGCTCCATGCTCAGCGAGGAACCTGACTCAGGGCTCAGTCACGTGACCATGAGATCATGACCTGAGCGGAAATCAAGAGTCAGACACTTAATTGACTGAGCCACCCAGGTGCCCCTCCGAGGACATTTATTTATTTATTTATTCATTTTTAATGTTTATTTATTTTAGAGACAGAGCATAAGTGGGGGAGGGGCAGAGAGAGCCGGAGACAGAATCTGAAGCAGGGTGCAGGCTCTGAGCTGTCAGCACAGAGCCAGACCCGGAGCTCGAACCCACGAACCATGAGATCATGACCTGAGCTGAAGTCAGACACCCAATCGACTGAGACACCCAGGTGCGCCCAAGGGCATTTTTCACTGGCAGACACGACCAGCTGGTGAAATGAATTCCTAGTAGAGCAAGGCAAGGAAGAGATGGTATTGAGTTTATCACTTTTTTGAGTTTATGCCCAGATAGCTTCATTTTCATCACTGATATGCCCACATTCAGTGGGATGTAACATTTGACTTGTTTTGCTTGGGGCAGTGACAATGAATAATCATGCCTTAGCTTTGTATATACAAGGATTTTCAAAGTACTTATTTGAATGTTCACCCACACTCACCATATCCCTTGACCAGAGACATCCACTTTAAAGCTGGCAGCCTCATAAAACACAAGGGTTGAGATCAAAGAACACTCTTCAGAGTTTGAAGTTAACCTTTGCACCCAGGATTTAAACCACCAAGCCACCTAAACAAGCATTTAGTTTCAAAATATTTCAGGATACTGAATGACATGTCCAGAGTCTTGTGGAAAAAACAGGTGCAGGAATCCAGGGGGCAGCTGATCTGATGTCACACTGGTGAGTGACACAGTAACTTTGGGTCTTTCTGGGTTCTATCAACAGAAAGTCATTACAGCTACAGATTTTCCTAAAGCAACAATTCGAGTCCCCTGGTCTGACTGGCATAATCTGGGTGCAGTCACTTTTCCAGTGGGAGGTGAGAATAGGAGATGATAGATGCTTCGGGTTCCTCTGGAATGTGCTGAACAAATACTAAGGGTAATCATTATGGGGAGTCCAGTCACTTGATAAAACCGAATGCCAGTTAATCCTCCCAAACTAGGAAATGGATTAATTTGTTCTGCTCAGGTATTTAGAAGTAAAACGTCCATCTCAGACAGCCAGGAAACAGCTTGGGAGAGGAAAAACTGTGTGTATGCCCCTTAGCAGGGAAACATATGAAACCACCACCAGGAAAAAAAGAAATACACCAGTAACATCTATGTGTTGCCTAAAATACTGCTTATCACATCACCCCTCTGATCAATAATCCTCAAGGGTGCCCCATAGCCAGTGGAATTATGTGCAAACTCTTCAGAGTAACATTCAAGGCCCCACCTTGTTTTGCCACGTTCCCCCCACGAGTCCTCCTCAATCTGCTTTAGCCAGCCTGGACCCGTTGCTCTCTTGGTAATCTGAGTCACCTGACCTGGAGCGCTGGCCACAAAGGGAAGTAAACTTCAATTACCTGCGCCTGGAATGTTCTCTCCCACACCTGTCTGGCCCACCCTCCCC